GGAAGGGGCTAATTCCGGCGAACTATTACTAAGTCGATAGAAATTAAACGGTACTAATATATAGGTATTAGTATATATTTATAAAAGAGTATCTTAAATAAACGTATAGCTCTTAGGTCCCTTTATTAAGTTTATCGCGGGTTCTAAAACCTAAACTTTCTAGTAGCTTACTATAGCTAGCCCGGCTTCCGAATTCTAAGAAAAAGCTCCGATAGTATTCCGAGGTTAATAAAATATCGCTATCGTAATAGAGATAATAAATTACGGGTATAGGAGAACGTAAACTAATAACGGTTATCTAAGGGTTTACTTAGCTTATTCGTTAATATATAAAGTTAAATCGTCTATATAAGAGAGGTTTAGAAGCTATAACTCCGACTAGTTCGAACGATTCGTACTCTAGATTATAGTACTTAAATAAGCACTAGCGCCTATATTTATACTTAGGTATATTAAAGACGTTATCTGAAGATCTTAATTAAGTGACCTGGATTTACGGTAACGTAATATACTTCTATCCTACCGTCCGAGGATAGAACTATTAATAGAAGGTACTAGGTATATTCCTAAAGCCTATATACGCTTACTAATTTAGTTAACGCTATAAGTCTAAGAACCCCTATAAGCCCCTACCCCCCTACTATAAAATGCACCTTAGGGTCGGATATAATGTATTACTTACCCCTGCTCTAGCCTCTATATATCTTAGGCTTTCCTTACTAGACCCCCCCTTTCGGCGGGCCTAAGATCTAATATATACTCGGAGCCCTACTCTATATCTATATATGTCTTATTTTAGCTGCTGGAGAGTGGGACTTTAATTATATATTCTATAGAACCCACTCACCCTATCCCGCCCTTCTAGGTCTTATACTAGTGCTTATCCGTATACGACGACCGAGTAGCTGAGAATATATATAATGCCTGCCCCGCTAGGGAGTTAACTAGCCTTAGTCCCCGGTTTCGTAACGTCCTCGAACCTCTTAGCCTACTATACCGAAAATAGGGGTCTAAGTTAGCCGAGAGTTCGTAAATAGCTTAATCATTGCCTGCTAGAGCGAGACTAGCCTAAACTTAGGAGAGTACGTTTTTAGCTAGCCCGAGGTATACGTTTATAGGCTATAATATATAGCGGCGTAACTAACGTTAGTAGTTTTTCTAGGCCGCTCTTATATTTACTAAGGCTGTTCGTGACTTTCCCGGACTACCTTATAAAATACGACTAGCTATAGAAGGTCGATAGAGGAAATAACGTAGCGATCGGCTTAGAACTTTACGTCGAATCGTAAATAGCTGGTCTAGTCTAGGAAAAGCGAGCCCCCCTACGCCTAATAACGTCTTAATATAGATAAATAAACTCTATAATACTTTAAATAGAGATCTAGTAGCCTAATTATATAAGGACTTAAGTAAACCTCCTAATCCTAGGTTACTTAAGGAGCTCGTATTAAGGCGGATACGTCTTATTGAGTTCTATTACCTTTAAGTCGATTTCTCTACGAACTTCGTACCTTATAATAACGGTCTTCTCTTAATTTTCGTAAATAGACGCCTAGGGCTGGATATTAAGTAAGTGAAGAAGAAATATTAAGGTTAGTTAAGCGCTAGGTAACGGCTTTATAATATCTTATAAAGACTCGATAGATATAGGGCCTTACTCTTACCTTATAATATTACTCGTATAACGTATATCGTATCTTTATACTATTTAAATCTCACTAATTATAAGCTAGGTTAGAGAGTTACGTAGCGAATAACGAATATTTAGATACCGCTATTAAGTCGCTTAGAGGATATAGTATATTTAAGAGTAAAGCGACGAAGCATTATTTCGATGAAGCTAGTAATCTCTTCGCCGCTTAAAAGTCTTAGAGGAAAGACCTTATTATAGCCTTACGCTATAATGTGCCGCTTACGCTAACTATAGGCTAAATCTTAATAGATCAGGTCGATATCGGCATTACTAGAAGTGCCCAGGGTCCAGATAGTATCGCTCTTTCAGGCTAGTATAAAGATATAAATAGCTGGTGCGGTATGGAAAACTTCGCGACAGATACGCCTATTAAGCCTAGGCTATCTAGGATGTCTAATCTAGACGATATTATAGCTCTTGCCGGACGTCTTAATTTATAACCGAGCAGTCTTAGGACTATTCTTCTTCGGTGCTATACGAAATATTATCGATAGTATATAGATATCGCGATCCTCGATATTAGCCTATATTAAAGCCTTTATACGCATTCCCTCGCCCGCCTTAAGTACGATGATATCTCCTACGTAATACGTAAAAGAAGACTCTATACGTTATGCTTTATAGACAGGCCTATTAACTATCCCTATATATAGGGGTTCTAGCTCGGCGAGAGAGACCGTGTTTTCGTTAATATTTTTAGGGCTTCTAGGCTTCGGCTACTGTAAAATCGTGAAAATTGCGAGCTAGTCGTTTTAATTTATTACCCTACCGGTAAGGAGCTATATAATAGACGGCTTAAAGAGTTTTTTAGGATGAATATAAATCCCGCTATTATTAGCTAGTCTGCGTAAGATAAGTACCTACCTCTCGGTAAGTATTAAACTACCTTTCGGGCGAAGATATATAGACTATATACTCCTTATTAAATAAATCAGCTAAGCTTTAATATTCTTACGGTATTACAGAACGTGATAACAATCTTAAATTCGATCTACCCCTAGCGCAATAGAAATCTACGCAGTAGTATAGGATCTGTTCAGTAAGCATTTAGATGCTGCTTAGGCGACTGTAAATATCTACGTATACGAGATTTTCAGCTAACCGCGGAATTCGACTTAGGCTACTGCGGAGGTCCGCCTCCTAGTACTTTAGTATAAGTATATAAAGGCCCTTCGCTGCTTAATCGACGTTACCGCAGCGTAAGAGTGAGATAAGTGTAATATTAAGATAAAGTCGTATAAGGTCGGAATTAATCTTTTTAAGGTCCGTACGTAGTGACTAAAAGGCGGGGTTAATAAGGATAGAGCTTATTTATTTTCATTTATTAGGAGGCGAGACCTTGATAGCCTCGCGCCTAACTAAGCGATAACTCACCTAATATTAATATACTACTAGGCGGCTGCATAACAGCCTTTAGAGTCTTTAGACATTTCATTCCGCAAAAGGTTCTTACTGACGAGCTTGATCACATAGGTCATGGCGTTACTTGAAGGCGTTCTGTGAATGAGTGAATCTATAGCGTTTCTCGGCATATAGATACCTAACTACCTGCTTTCCTGCATTAAACTTACTCCTTACTTCGTTTCATCCTCCCTCTCACCCTCCTTCATAATATCATCCAGGTTACTGTCAGCATCACCCTCCTTCATCGTATCAGTATAGTAATAGCATCAAAATATACGGGTGCTTACCGAAGGAGGTAGCGATAGGGGCGGATTAGGAGGGGGAGGAGACTTCTGCTTTTCCTGCTCTATAGTCATAACCTTGCTTAACTCTTAGGTGTCGAATATTTCAGGTTTTACTGCGCATACGCAAATATTACGGAGAGTGATAAAGAGGAATAACCAGTGAATGTTTAGGAGGTTATACAAGAAATGAATCTCGAGCAGGGAGATTACTCTTATATGTAAATTGGAGTGTTGCCTTCACTGGCTTGACGATATCCATCGAACGAACTGTTCAACCAGTTAATTGGTTATGTAAGTGCCCTAAAGAACCGTGGATCTGCCAGTCTTGCAGATTATCCTAGTCGCTTTCACCTTGCATAGGTCACGGCCTACACCAGCCAGCTGATATCATGCACGCTGTCCAAGTTGTCGTGTCTGCGGATTGAGTTTTATCATTGCGGTGGCTCGGTTGCTATATGACTCCCTATCCTGACCCCCGAAAAGCAATGGACATCTTCAAGCGGGCCATGACCACGTTGGTGGCCTGGCATGCAGGCCATCGTCTTACAGGCCAAGAAGATATGCAGAATGCTTGTCAACTGCAGCACCGGTGGACCGGACTAAGTAAGCATCTCCATTGGCAACACGGATCCTGAAAGCCTCGAGTATATGCCACCAACTTGATGGTCCGTAGCACGCTGGACGAAGCCTTACTCTTAAATGCGGCGTGCACAGCCTTCATACACCGTAGGCGATATCCCTTTCTCGCACAGTTTGAGCCGTCTGCGAGATAACCTCGTTCTCAATATCAATATAGAGAGGCAGGTTAATTTACCCAATAGCTTTGAGCTCGATAATAGGGGATGCAACTGGTGACAGTACCCAGAGTAAGACAGCCACCTACATTTCTATTAAACAAAAGGGGAGTGGTGACTGACGGGGTGTAAATTGGCTGTTGTATTGCATAATAATTCAGACTAGGCTGCACCTGCCACGAGCTATTCAACAGAGTATGTCGGGCACCTGTGAAGCACTGCCCCGATAAGAGCATCGGCAAGCACGATGCACCTGTCGTTAGTGGACTATTAGTAAGCAGGTGCCACTAAATTGGATCTCACTTCCCGCACATGTGCCTCAATGACACCTCCCAGGTGTCACCACGGGATTGAACAAAGTGGATTGATTGTTGTTAAGGTACAAAAGGAGACTTCCAGAAGTCCAAACGAAGGTAATTGGTCAGATCCAGCATCGGTAAGGAGTCTTACCGGGGCGATAACGACAGAACAAATGCATCAAATGAGGACTCCACATTTGGGATGAAAGTACTTCTGGGCACAGAACAGAACCTTGCCTGATCGGCAACACCAGGCTCGTAGCAGGTGCAGCCTAGGCGGAATTCTTATGCAATACAACAACCGATCTTCACCCATAACACCTGCCTTAGGGCCACCTTCCCACCCGCCTTCCCACCCGTCTTCCCACCCGCTTTCCTACTCGCTTTCCCAATCGCCTTTCCAATCGCCTTCCTTCTCGCCTTCCTTCTCGCCTTCCTTCTCGCCTTCCTTCTCGCCTTCCCACCCGCTTTCTCACCCGCCTTCCCATCCACCTCTCCAGCCTTTGCACCGTTTTCCCCGCTTCTCATGCCGAAGACGTCATCGCAAGACCATCCTCAACAATGGGGACTCGAGGATTACGCCCTTTTTGGCCTGTTCGATTCGACGGACAAAGTCGAGGAAAAGCATAAGGCTGTTGCTCGTTTCATAGCCATCCGGAAGTTTTTCGAACAAGAAGAGTATCGTCTCGGCCGCTTGAGCACTAATATATTCAATAAGAAGCGAGACACGAAAGTCAAGCTGTTTACGCAGAACCTGGCACAATTGCTGAGCCCAGATGATGATCTTCTGCATCCGCTCTTGACTAAGCCAGAAAACACGATTGAGAAGATAGTCCTTGCATTATCCGCGTTGACTGAACCCCACCGCGTTGATCTACAGATATACGGCTTGGTGGACTTCTTCTTCGTATGGTTCAATCACCATCCAACGTTCAAAATTCCCGCCGATGGTCTCAACAACTACATTGAGCTTATGGATGCAGCCTGCGAAATCGTTAGGACAGACAGGTCAAAAGCGTTACACGATAAAATGGGATCCATCGCGGCATACAAGAACTATAAATTCAAGAAAGACCGTGAGGCTCAAGAAGAAAAGGAAAGGCCTCGAAAAAAGCCAAAGCACGATCATAACGAGACCTTATTTGAATACCGTGCTATCGAAAAGCCCGCGTCTCTATTCCTCGAGCCGCGCAGCAAGCCTTTGATACTCAACGAGGAAAACTTGACACCATCCATCAAGCACGATCTCGAGCAGGTACCTAATGTCCACCCCAAATGTCAGACGTCACTTCTCCAGTACCTCTACAATGCTAATATTAGTCTAGCGAACGTTTTCTTGCTGGGCGAGCCGCTGCTTTCTCGGGTCCACGAGACGCTGGGTGGCAGGAGTCCGCTGGCTCAAGGGTTGATGGCGTCTGGTCAGTTGATTTGGGAAACAAGAACTGACCGTGACATGGATCAACAATTTGCTGGAAAAGCAGACAGAGCCGATCATGAGCGAAACAACCGGCGTACGGGTTGCGTCACAGCGATTGTCCCACACGAAGAAAACAGCGACATCACCTTCCACTTCAGAGTTGGGTCCAAGGCGGGTTGGCAAATGGTTGAGCATATGGATTTCCATCGACAGACAGAATAATTGTAAACAGTAGCACCTATTTCATGAGACGGAAGCTTTCCCCATTGAACACCATGACCCTTTCACCCTGAGTAACCCTCTCGTCACTGGCTACTTGTCCGTTCCATCGTGGTTCATCGCCGTCCTTGGGATAAATCCTGATGATCGCTGCTTTCCCCGAAATAGACGTTTGATCTGTGACTTCCAAGTATATTACTCCTTTCAGATCCTCAGCTATTCCACGAATGGCATCCTCCCCAGCCATGATTTCGACTCTTGAGTGCGCGTGGTGATTGGGATGCCGGGTGCCTGCGCGCAAACGTATTAGCCTTGGTCAGACAGCGAGCTTGATAGCGTCAGATATGACCTTGATTATGCAGCGGCTTGACGTATTCGCACAGGTCTTGCAGTGTTGGCTGCCGAACTTCGAGATATGATCTTTGCTCGCGCTGTCCCAGTTGAGAGCATTAGGAGGGGTAGCATGACCTTGTGGGGATGCGGGACTTCATGGTCTGTGTTCCTATGAGCTTTGGGCAGCAATGCCTTGGTGTCGGGAGATTTTCGGAACAGTGTTCATTAAGAAGTTCAAGCATGATAAACAAAATCTTGACGCACGAAAGTCGTGTGCTGAAGACTACTACGATCGCGTCCTACTCTCGTCAAGGCAGGCAGCATTGCGCTGCACCAGTGTCGAAGATTACTCGACGACTACCCCACATTGGGGTTCACCGTATAAACCTTTCTCCGCTCTACGGCTGAGTCAGATCGTGCCACTTGTGTTGCTTCTGAGGGCTCCCTCCCTGCCCCTTTGAAGCGCCCGAAATTTCGAAAGCGAGTGGGATCTCCGCTTTACAACAATATCGAATCAGAGGCCACCGCCTCCGATTTGTTACGTAGACCTGTGCTCTCTTCTTAAAACACGCCGACACGCCGTTGATTACCTGAGCGCAGAGAACTATCCCCAGTTTGCGCTTCAGCTTTTGCTCGTGTCGAGAGGCGACAGGCATGGACAGCCTCTTCCATGACTCAAGCATCGCGCCTCCCTCCACCGCCAGTCGGGTGTTGCTGGTCGTCGACCATTTGGCCGAACTCCCCTTATGAGTACTACGATCAAGCCGCGAAGAGGTCACAGCAGGATTCCATGGTTGTGAACTGTCGAACCTGATGGGCTGAGGTCCACCCTGACGCGGGTCTCGGCAAGTGGAGCCTGCTGGCCAACCTCATTTCTCAGTCACCCGCTTAAGCCGATGCTGCCCCCTTTTATTCACTCCCTGAACAACAGGCGCTACGTGTTCACAGCCCAGTCGCGACGACAGGGCACTTGGAGTCTGTGTCCCTCGCGGTGCATAACACGTGCAGACGCGACGTATGCACGGAGGCTTTCCGTCTCCTGTAGCGGGCCAGGTGCACGGAAGGTGGGGGTGCTCTAAATCGACGTCTGCCGCCAAAGACCCTCATGGCTCGGTTGAGGACTGACCCCACAGCAGACATATCGGCCGACGATGTCACGTGGTACGAGTCACGGGTCAGGGCGGCTGGCAATCCGCAGATCGGTTATGAACAATGAACTAAATGCGACATCCACTCAAGCTTCATCCCATTCCCCACGCCGTCCCACCCCCGGGATTGGTTGCGAAGAGATCCTGAATGGAACTCCTGAAAAGCCGTCATGCCCGTAAGACGCGTAAGAGAGGCATACCGGTTCATGACCATATAGCTCTTGAGAATTGACAAGCTCCTCCCCATCTCTCCACGCATCAGGGCTGCAACCTCCATGGAAGGCACCGCTAGTGGCTGGTTGATTGGCTTCTCCCTCAAGGTAGATACTACTGCCATCGCCAAATGACTGGCATGGATCATTGAAGCTGAAAGCATTTGGGGTGTTCGGATGAAAGTAGGGTAGGGGCTTCGAAAGGGGCTGGTTTGGTACGACAGGCAGCTGGGTGTTCGCATGCGCGTGTGCAGGTCCTGGCAAATTGTTGTATTTAGCGTCTGAAACGACATCTTTGTTGCTCGGAAGGATTGGCGAGTGGTGCCGAAGACGATGTAGTTTCCTTTTATCGATATTAGAAGATTTCTTCGCTCTTACAGTATAGCATTGTCATACTTACAGGACATCATTTCTAGTGAATATAAAACCACAGTCAGAACACCTAAACCCTGTAGCTCTGTTTACATGACGGTTCTTGTGACGATTCCTACCATCGATGTTAAACACCTTACCACGATCCCATGGAAATATCACACTTACAGTTGATGGCTTGTGTGAAATGTTTTGTTGCACTGTTTACACGCGTATGTCGGTGCCCCTTCGTGATTCTTCACGTGATCGTTCCTGTCGCTGTTATTAGACGACTCGTCGTCCCGATCCCACAGTAAAGTAAAGCACACTTACAGCACCCACTTCTTTCTAAATCTTTGTACGCAGCCTTCAGTTGGACATGGAAACATGCTTGTTTTGTGCATTTTTGCATGAGCACTCCTGTTGCCAAAGTTCAACGACGTATCCAGTCAGCAGTATTGTGGCAGTATCGCACTCACAGAGCCTCTATGGAAGCAAAGGCCTCCCCGCAGTCCTTGCCAGGGCATGATATGTTCCCCGACGACATTATATTATTGGGGGTTAATTCCACGAAAGAGGTGGGCAAGGATAAAACAGGTAAGTTAAAGAGGGCCTGGAAGTAATCGCGACGCCGAGAAGCAAGGGAGAGGATATCGGGAAGAAGACTGGATACAGACGTTCAGGGTAGCGACGCGAGCTTTAAGAATACCGCGCAGCGAACGCGATAGCCCACCAAGGGGGGCCGCTGCACGTAGGTTGCTAGGCGGGCTGTTAGAACCGCCAGCACCTCACAATCTGCACACGTACAGACCCGACAGTGACACACCCCACCGGGGCGTAATGATCAAGTTCCGCGGCGAGCTGAGTTGCCAAACGGCCAATCTCAGCAACCCCAGTCCTTCGCACTCGTCACCGGTCGAGCACAGGCCTTTCTGAGAGCGAACGGCTCCGGCACTAGCTGCAGGATGCAGCAACCCATGCCTGTCCTGTCAGAGATGGTGCATCGGAACCTGGCATGCAGGGGTCTCGGTCCCGCGGATCAGATCAACTCCAAAATTGGGGTCAACTCGATCACTGTCCTAATCGATCAAGACCCACTCCAACACAATGGAAGAAGAAAGACCTGCTCAGGCGTGAGCGTGGCAAGAACCTCCACGGAGCAGTCTCGGTCGCCTGCCCGCTCATCATTGCCCAGTCGGTGAATATTTGGCACCAAGGCAACAATTCTTAGCTACTAATCGGATGGCAAAGCCAGATTTATCTGTGGGTTCATTTCAAGGTCATAGATGCGCAATGGAACCCCTTGAATACAATGTTCTCTCTCCTTCTCTTTCCAGTGCCTCATCGAATGCCGGTCAGCATACGTGGGTCTTTCTGTGAGTAGACCACTGTGGAGAAATGTCAACGACAGGGGCAAAAATGCCCTGGAGTTTGCAAAGGGCGATCTCAAATTCACACAAGGTTGAAGTACCACCAGGGTCAGAGCACAGCCAACCTTACGGCAGCTAGTACCTTGCTGCTTTGTTGCACCAATTCCCCACTGTGGGGAGTCAGGAACGTCTGCGCGGGATCCCGTCCCGGACCTGGAACTGCACATGGTCGATCACACGCTAACACCCTTGTGCTTGTTAGGTATGGAGGCGATGTCGTACCAAGAACTTATCGGCGCCGATGGAGCGACCATCTTGCAAGAGGCAGTGCAAATCCGCAATTAGGTGCTCGCACTCGACCAATCTAACAAAGCGCATTGGCCCCTGGCTAATTATCCCTGAGCTCAGGACTCGGAAGTCTTGGGTTGACTGGACGCGTACCGTGAATAAAAAGCCACACTAGACGCCTGTTTTCCTCTTTCGACAAACCTGTCTCTTCTGCCACCTTGAGTAGACTTACTGCTCCCATGGGGGTCATTATATTGTATAGGATCACCGAGGTATGTCAGTGGTACGCTCAGACGGGTCATTGCTGACACTTACTCTATCTAGGTGGATGGTGAATTGACCGAAGTATGTGTTGAGTTCATCTCCATGCCGCTCGTCCCTTGCCATTTGGATGATGAGACCTCCGCCACCGGCTCTCCCACGCAGTACTTTTCCACTGGGTATTGGCTTCGTCGTATGAGAAATTTGATGAGACGTCTATGGCATCATTCAACAGACAGATAGGTTGGTCTCTTACACTCTTTGGCCGGCGGGGAGATCTGGACTGAAGTTAGCCATCATTGGTATAGCAAGACATCCAACAAGGCTCCGGCACTGGCCGACTCTATCACCATCACGCCATAATCGCCCGGCCCAGAACTCTTGAGTGATTGAAGTAAAGCCAACTCCTGCCCCTTGTGATGAAAGGTACTGACAGTGACGCAGGAACAATGGCGGGGCAAGCGACGAGACTGCTGTACAGTCATCGACTTCCTCGTGTAGCTACTCGTGATCGACAATTCCCTCTCCGTTCCACGATGGCCCTCGTTTTGGCCCACCACCACCAGCACATAATTCCCTCCAGCTACACCTGCGTCCACGAGTCGAGTGCCCCCCACAGTGCCACAACAGCGGCCGCTATGACTGCCCCGTAGGTCATCACCTGCTTCTCTCCCTCCCAGACTCTAGCGTTGGCCGATAGGTGGCCCGCCATCACACGCATCGGTGGTGTCTTTGTGTCATGCTACGTGATCGTGTGCAGCGCGCTCCGACACAGTGGGCAAGGCCCGCAGGCACGGCGGGTCGCACTTGTGGGGCTGGAGAGCGTCGCGACTGGCAACGCGTCCTACAGGCGCGTCTCACTACGGGCTGCGAATCGGGTGGAAGTCGGCTCTCCGATGCGGCTCCGCAGTGGCTCGGCCCTGTTTCAACGACGACGCTTGCCGATGCACTCGCAAACGTCGGGGGTGCCGAGTGCTGCCCGCTGCACTATCTCCGAGAGAGAAACAGCAGAGCGTGTGCTTGGCATGAGACAGGACAGTTACATCTCAGGTGGTGCTGGGTTATGGCGGAATGGATGCGAGGCGAAAAAGCACTCAGCCGGTGCTGTGGAAGCTGTCGGCGTTATCTCCTTGGTACCGCCATGTCGCACAATGGGCTGTAGGTGGGCCACGGAGCGCTTGACATCCGTCTCTATGCCGCATCACTGGAGGCAAGGACCTGGCGAGGAAACGTCCCTCGCTAACTGCTGTACAATTCAAACCTGAGAAAATGACGAAAGGACACGTCAGCCATATCGGCCCCCTCTTCGAAGCTTGCGAAAATGATGATGCCTGTTCATTCCCTCGCGACTCCTCAATTGGACGTCTATCTCGCAGGGTGATAGTGTTGAAAATCGTCTTCCCGTTGTCTGTGAAATATAAATGAGCAGTCGCTTGTTGACCAACACTCAGCCAAAGGCGGCTTCAGAAGACCCTCGAAGATCGCGTTAGTCATTGGCACCTGTGATGAGCTCGAAGAAGAAATCGTTGATTTGAAGCAGAAGGCTTGTGTTGAGCCCTTGCCAGAGAAGGTAACCGTTCCAAAATCGGGCCGGGCCGTCAGGTAGAGGCTGTTGCTGGAGGGAAGAACATTGGATCGAATTCTGTGTATCCGTTGCGGGATACTCGCGGGAGAGAAGACAATCAAGGGCAATGCGGATCTTCATCATGAGGAGAGATTTCATCTATGAAGTTGAGGTTTGTTTTCGAGAAATCAAGAAGATGCAGACGTAAGACTATGTTGGTGTATGTCGTAGGTTCACCGAGTGAACATCGCGCATGCCGGGAAGTGGATGGACCCCCAACTTGGAATAAACCACGCCTGCCAGTTTTCTCTTTCACCGAAAGCAACAGCCGCCAACCCTGTCGCCAAGAGCAAGGGTGTCAGTGAGTGGCGAATCTGTCGCGACGCAGTAAAATGTCAAGTGTGGATCTCGAATGCTGCACTCGGTCACAGGACTTCGACGGCCACTTGAGTGCGACTGGCGGATGATGCCTTGCAAGACCGTACTCATGTCCAACATGTCAGGTCAGCCTCACAGTCGGCGGCACCCAAGACAGGCGTCAATTGAGCCCACAGCCTCCCCTTCCCAGTCACATGGAATGGGGATCAAAAGGAGAGGCGCAGACCTGCCTCTGAAGGACAACGACGCTATCAATACCTGCCTAATGCCATACGGAACAACTGCTCGAGGACCTTGCACTTGCCTAACGGCCAGATGAACGCGGTTGGTGAACTGGGTGATCTCGCACTCCATCGCCTTGGTGAGCAAGTCTGTCGGTGAGTCATGAAGAAGTGCTGTGGCGGCTTTGACCCTGGAGCAAGAAAACGGCCCGCCCATATGCGACCATATCACCTCTGACTATCTTCCAACACATTCCAACACATAATGAGGCTGTCCAACCGGCCGACAGGCTGACGTTCGCGACTGTTCCCTGCGAAGCAATTGCCTCGCCGCAGCGACTAGCCTCCTCAACTGCAACCAGCGTCGTGTTTCTGTTGGCTGCCGCATGACTTGCAGAGCAGGCATGCCGCTGTTGCTTTGGC